CTCATTTATGTACTCCATTTGCTATGAAGTGTGTTCCTTGAAGGGAAACAATGCTTTATGGAAAAACCATGACTATAACCAAACATTCCGTAAGTCTTTACTTTCTACACAAGCTTTGCACGCAGGGCAGGCAAATCTATATCCAGGGGAAGAGCAATTATGCATCCCGTGAGGTGAACCTGAGCTAAAAACTCCATTGATCACTTGGCCTCCATAAGCACCCACTCTGACTGGGGAACTACAGTGACTTTTGGGTCCCTGGAATTAGTGTCAGCTCAGAACCAGTCAAACACCAGTTTAGATGTTACCGCTCAACCCTGCCTGGCTGTTGGAATCTGACTTTCCTGCACACACATACACATACACACACACACAATCGAAGAGCTACATTAACCACTCGACCCACACAGAGGACTGTCTTTGAATAAATGGGACACGTGGAAGCAAACATTCATACAAAAACTTGTGAAAATTTATATACACATGACCAACCAACTTTTTTTTTTCAAGGAATAAGCTAATTTGCTAAGACCTATGGGAGTGTCTCTGCTCAAGGAGAGTGAAACAAAGAAAGTTGCCATGAAAAAGATGAAACAGTTGATAAATATTCATGAGGTGCTATTAAGTCTACAGCACTACATGAGGTCCCATGGAAGCCAGATAAAATGGGAAATATGGTCTCATTCTCCTGGGCGATACTAGTTTGGGGTTTGGGCTGAACCCAGGTATGGACAATCTGGGGGAAATAAACTCCCTGAAACGGAAGGCTCAGATGACCTTGATCAGGGAAATTCATATTTCTCAGGAAATTGTGTCAAGCCCTGAGAATGTCGCTAAAGGGTTCAATGCTGGTCTTCACTTCGAAAAGCATTCCCCAGACCTTCTATTGCCAGGGAACTCCAAGTGTAGGGACAGTTTTCGTTTGGACTAATTATCTGGTAACATGGGAGGAAATCAGCAATTACTACACCACCTTCTCTTGGGAGATGAAACCTATGACACAAGACCCTAGATAGCAAAGTAATTGACTTCTTCCATGGCTTTCCATTCAGGGAGTTTACAAAAAGTTTCAATTCTCTGAATAGTGTCTCCAGAGACACTATCACCTGCTAGGGGAGAATATAACTTTTAGAATATAACTGAGGAGGTTGGTCCGGTTAACTCCTCTTTCTTCTCATGCCAAAGGTAAGAGAAAGTCTTTTCCTACCTCCTTCTAGGCTCGCATCATACCAGGCACTTGCTGATGCTGGGCTGGAAAAGCAAGTGATGGCTTCACAAGCGGAGACTCCAGGATTTCAGAACCAGCTCAGCCCATGACTTACAGTGCTCCTCTGAATTCACTCGCAAGGCCTAGTCTTCTGATTAAAATGCTAATAATCCCAGTCTAAGAAATATTGAGGGAATGACTAAAATTAATTACAATAAGGTTTAAGGATTAATGGAAAACCCTTTTAATCCTCTGCTATTAGGCAGATATTATTAATATCATCCCCTTAATAAATTCAAAGAAAGGAGGGAAGAATTAACATTTGTTATCCAACTTAACAAGTTTCATACATCAAACTAAGTGTTCTAAATACTTTATCTCATTTAATCTCATCACGGCTCCATTAAGTAAATATTATTGTTTACATCTTTTAAACATGTGGAAACAGAAATTAATTGGAGGTGGTCTGCCCAGGCAACAAAGCTATTAGTGATAAACTGAGCTGCTACCTCAGGTCTGTTATTGGCAAATCCACTAATTCCCTTTTTTACAAAATGTTAACTAAAAAACTGGGGAGCTGCTGCAGCCCAGAATCTCTCATTTCCAGAATGCACAAGGGTGATGCTCCTCATGACATTCTTGCCAACTGAGGCTGGTGTGGCCGGGGAGGTGAGAAGGGAGATGAGATGGTTGGGATGGGACTCGAAGCACTGAGATGGGCTTGGAATCATGAACAGGGGCCGGCCCGGGGAGGATTCCTGGGGGTGATGCCGAAGGGCCCTCTAACCCTGCCTCCGTCCTATGAGAAGCATTTAACAGCAACTTGGAACAGCAAGTTGATTTGACGTTGATGTAAGTGTCACCCTCTCGGAACCATGAAAACACTATTTTGTCAATCTAGAATATGGACCCCATTATCTGCCTACCTCTCTTCTCCTGGTTAATTTCCATTTTTCAGACATAAACTTAAATATTTCTTCTTCTAAGAAGCCTTCTCAGAATCCCTTAGACACAAACTATGCCAGAGCCCCATGCTGTACAACCTTACAACACACTATTTTTCTTTACAGCACAGCACTTAATTACAGTTTTAATTATATATAATTAAATTATACATATATGTGTATATATATGCCAGGTTTGTTAATTAAAAGAGTCTGTCTCAGTAGGATATATAACCACTTGGGCACAAATGTGCCATTTTGGTTTTGGGGGGTTTTTTAATTTTATTTTTTATCCTCATGTGAGGATATTTTTTCCATTGCTTTTTCAGAAAGAGTGGAAGGGAGAGAGAGACAGAAACATGGGTGTGAGAGAGACACATCCATTGGTTGCCTCCCGCACGCACCCCAACTGGGGCTGGAGATCAAGCCTGCAACCGAGGTTCGTGCCCTTGGCTGGAATCGAACCCTGGACCTTTCAGTCTGCAGGCCAATGCTCTAACCACTGAGCAAAACCAGCTAGGGCACAACTGTGCCATTTTTGTCACCAATGCATGTAGGGCTTGGCACTTAATAAAAAACAAATGTGAGTGACTTAAGGAAGAATACTTAAGATATAGTTACAGATTAAAGATTTATTTAAATGTCAATCTCAGGAGGCTAGAGCAATAGACAAATGCTGAACAAATTATGAAGGATGATCTGCTTCTCTAAAAATTAAAAAAAAATAATTAGAGTTTTGGGATCCAGGGAGCTACGTATCAGTCCAAGTATGATGAGACCATCAAAACAATCAAAAACAAACTCATGAATTATTTTTAGTTTAATTATACTGAAAAAATAGACTGTTAATGAAGAGATAGGTGACACCCACGTCTTTTCGTAGTTGACCATTCCTGTGATCTGTCCCATATAGTATACTTACAAGCTATTAAAAATGAGAGTATGTCCACAGCTAAAACTGTGAAATGTATCTAAACCACGTCATGTGAGCAACAGCAAAAGTAAATTAGAAAAAAAGCTTCGGGCTGCATGGCCAGAGCTCTTTAGTTCCCAAAGTGATTCATGTAGAAATGGCCCCATGGTGTAGAACAGAATGAACATGTAGAAGTTACACAGAGGCAGGTTCCAGCCATTATTAGAAAGAACTTTAAGAGAATCCTGTTATCCAACAAAGGAGGAGGCATGTGAGGAAGTAATGAGGTTCTCTAGGCATCAGAGATGAACTGCTGTTCAGACACTGTATTCAGGGATCCAAAAAGGGACTGAATTAAGCAAGTTCTGAAGTCCTTTCCAGCACTAAGAATTCATGGACTATAGAGACCTATCATAAATATTTTATTATAAATCCTGGAGAGCCTCATTAAGATTATATGAGTGTGACTGACTATAATAAAATTCTCAGAAGCCATCATTAGCGCATCTCAGAAGTCATCATTAGCACACAGATTTCAAAGCCTTCCATCATACAGGCGGTGGACTAGCCTCAGATGTCTGTCTGTTGTAGCCTTATATATGCTATGTCTATGAGTGATGGGATTTTTTCCACAGTGCAGCCCAAATGTTGGATGCCAAGTTGTTGTCTGTAAGGGCTCTTAATCTTAAAAGTAAAAAGAGAAAACGAAAAAAGTGTAAATGACATATTTTTACAATATATTTACCCATATGACATTTATTTATTGAATGTCTATAATTTATACATTAGGCTTGGTGATATAGGGGAATAAAATATAAATAAGGGAAATGGCTGCCTTTGAACTTGCAAGTAATAATGATGGTTATCTGTTAATAGGTTGCTGTTACTATGAACTAGGTATTGTGGTAGATACTTTATATTATAATCTCATTTAATCCTCACAACAACCCTCGGAACTAAGCATAATTATCATCCTCATTTTTCACACAAAGAAACTGGGACTCGGAGAAATTATATATTGCCTAGCAACACAGAGCCAGGACATGGAATTACTCAAACCACATCATTTAATTTCAAAACTGATTTCACTGATACACTGCCCCTCCTCTGCATGTTGTAATACAATATTAAATATACTCAGTGACATGAGAAATCATTCAAAGTGTCAGAGGAAAAGAGAATGAAGTGGATTCTACTTGCTAACTATTAGATAACAGAGACCTAGCCATTCGTGCCTAAAGTGCTCTTAATATTAAGGACGGTGTCTAATCATCTTTCTCCCTATGCCTGTGACACTGAGCTGGGTTTTTGTGAATGATTTTTACTAGAAGTCATAATTCTGGATTAAGATTTTTCTTCAAAGCTCATAGCAAATAACTATTAGAATTGGGTAAGTTGATGCAAGGTCACACGTTGCCTATTTTCCACCTTCTTTAATACAACTTGGTCTTGGAAAAAAAGTAGAATGGATGATAACACTGTTTCCTTCTAGTCCCACACTTCTCCTGATTGGAATGAATGAGTGAATGAATGAATGAGTGAGTGAATGAGTGAATAAGTGAATGGCTTTCCATCCTCACCTAAATGACCCCTGCTCTCAAGAATTTCTTGACACTTTCTTGTGAATTTACTGAAAGCATTTGGTTTTTATTCCACTTATACTGAAAAGGGCTTTGAATTCCACAAACTTCCTCTGTCTATTTTCCTCAAAAAATTCTCACATAATTTAGCCCAACTCTTGGCAGGTAGAAATTAAGTTGTCGCTATCTAAGTTGTGAAGAGTGTTGGTAAAAGGGAAATTTAAATAGAAATTAGTCCTAATTCTTCCAGTTCCTAACTCCAGCTCTGATGAAATCGGATCAAGGCTCACAGTGCGAACTAATAAATATATGATCAGCCTAATTCTTCCTTCCGTCGCCGTCCTCTCCACAGGGGGATGCCCGGGGGGAACGGCTCGGTGTGGGTGGAGTTCGTGTTCCTGGCCTACCCCTGCCGCCCCGAGCTGCGGGCCCTGTCCTTCCTGGGCGTGGGCCTGCTCTACGCGCTGACCGTCGGGGGGCATGTCCTCGTGGTGGCGGCCATCCAGGCCGACGCCCGCCTGCACACGCCCATGTACTGTCTCCTGGGCAGCCTCTCGGGCGTGGAAGTGTGCTACACGGCGACCGTGGTGCCCCACATGCTGGCCAACCTCCTGCAGCCACAGAAGACCATCTCCCTCCCGAGCTGCGCCACCCAGATGGCTTTCTTCATCGGGCTGGGCAGCGCCGACTGCTTCCTCCTGGTCGTGATGGCCTACGACCGGTACGTTGCCATCTGCCACCCCTTGCGGTACCCTCTCATCATGACTTTAACTCTTTGTGTTCGCCTGGTCGTTGCTTCCACGCTCATCGGCTTGGTCCTGTCTTCACAGCTGGTGGCCTTCATCTTCTCTCTGCCCTTCTGCCAGGCTCGGGGCATCGAGCACTTCTTCTGTGATGTGCCACCCGTGATGCGCCTCGTCTGCGCCAACAGCCACAGCCACGAGCGGTCGGTGCTGGCGGCGGCCACACTGGCCATCGCCGTGCCTTTCTGCGTCATCGCCACGTCCTACGGCTTCATCGTGGCGGCCGTGGCCAAGCTGCGCTCGGCAGGTGGCCGCCGCCGGGCCTTCTCCACCTGCTGCTCCCACCTGGCCGTGGTCCTGCTGCAGTACGGCTGCTGCGCCCTCACCTACCTGCGCCCCGACTCCGGCTGCTCCCCCGGGCAGGGCCAGCTCATCTCGCTGGTGTACACACTGGGAACCCCGCTGCTCAACCCGCTCATCTACACCCTGAGGAACAGCGAGGTGAAGGGGGCCATCGGAAGAGTTCTCCCCAGGAGCTGTCTCCGCCAGGGGAGGGCACGGCCCATCGGGAAGGGTTTGGCCCCACCCCACGCGAATCCCGGGGCACCTAAGATTCCGCTCGGTTGATGTTAAAACTCATCCTTAAAAATGGCATAAATCGTCTGGATACTGTTTAGCTACGTGCACCGGAGACCTTGGAAATGTTTCTACCATTTTAGTAGACTCGGTCGTTTTCTTCTAGAAAAGAAATTAACAAATGAGCATAACGTGACAGAAAGTGACAAGTACAAGACTGCATCTCAGGGATCCGCTAGAAGCAGATACGTCATTCAATAAATTTTCACTTTAAAAATGTAATAAAGACCCAAAATAATACAAAATTGTATCCCATTTAGTCATTTTAACTAAGTATGGGTGTGTGTGTTTTCAACTCCTGAACGTTAAGACCCAACATGTTTTAACCTCTCTGTTGGATATTTATCCCAATGTGTTTGTTTTGCTTAGAATTTCATTTTACTTTTTATTTTTAATGCAGGAGATTATTATTTTCAATCAAGCATTAATTAAAGTTACTGAAATATTTGATACCAAATAATGTAATAAATAGATCGTACGCAGAAGTATGAGAGAGGGGATCAATAGGGGTGGTAACACCCTTACATGCCAGCAATAGCAGGGGGCCACTGTAGCCCCGAGACATCACAAGCAAAAGGAAGGTACAGTATAACTGGAGACTGGTGAAAGCTAGATATATCAAGAGCAGACACTTGGTAAGAACTGTGGCTTTGGGGGGGTGGGAACAACTATTGGCAAAACTATGGCCATGCAAAGAGACAGCAGGGAGATAATTACTCCAACCTCTCTCCGCTTGTTTCCTCCCATCTCTTGCCCTGTCTCCCACTGGCCAAACCCAACTGGAAGCAAAAGGACAGGGGAGACTGAATGCTCCCCCTCTCAGGAGCTAGCCTCTTTGGACAGGGCAGAGAAGAGAGGACCTTGAGCTCCAGGTGGGACAAACGGAACAATCAGAAAAAGATATGTTGACAATCTAATTTCTTCATAATAAAGTATTTGCTGAACAATTATGGTATGAAGGAATTGTTTTCTTTGTGTCTATACTTGTATTTATTCATTCATTCACTAAATGTTGAGCATTTAAATATGCCAGGCATTAACCTTCCAAGAAACAGTGGAGAAGGGTCTATAGCTCTTTGCCTCCTTCTTTCCGGTTCATTTACACCCATTGCCATGGCCTCATCTTAGATTATTTTAGCCTTAAATCTATGATTTCAAATACTAGTTATTAGTAATGACTAACATTAAGTATTTATTGTGTATCATAAATATATATATATTCTCTAATCTTCAAAAATCCTATGAAGTAACACTGTTTTATTCTATTTCCAAGGATGAAACTAAGTCACAGAATTTAAGTAACTGGTGTGAGCTCATGCAGACAATAGGTGATGGACTTGGACTTTAGGATTTGAACCCAGTGATTACAGCTTCAGAAGCCATGTTTATTTGCAATTTCATCATAAAATGATGACGAGTATCTTTTCAGAGGCTTACTGGCCCCTTGGCTATTTTCACTGTGAAGTATTACTTTAAGAATTTACCAATTTTAATTGGATTATTTCCTCTTTTTCTGAGTTTTTCTGTATATTCTGGACATAATTCCTTTGGCAGATATATTTATTGTTAACATTTTCTTCCTAATTTTAGCTTAAACTTAAAACGAAGTCTACTTTATTATTGTTTTTCTTTATAGTAATGACTTTTGCCTCCTATTTAAGAAATACTTGCCTTCCCCAAGTTTGTGAAGATACTTTTTTATGCTTTCTTCTGAAAGCTTCCTAGTTTTAGCTAACACATTATGTCCATGACATATCACATTAATATTACGTATTGTATAAGCTAAGGGTCAATGTTCACATTTTTACGGTACATATAGTTATTCCAGTGCCATTTGGTTTTCTTGTTGAATTTCTGTGTGTGTGTCTATGTTGTGTGTGTGTGTGTGAGTTTAATTCTGCACCCTCTATCCTTGATCGCTTTTCTTTTTTAGTATGTTCAATATGATTTTATTTGGCATTTTTGTTTGTTTAAACAAAAAGTGTTTATTGCCATGCCTTCTGTGGTTTCCAAGATTGTTGGAATGGGTAAATTCAACATGCTTATTTTGGCTTCAGAAAAGACCTATGTATGTGCTGTTTCCTCTGCCCTGATACGTTGCCCCTTCCCTTCTCCTGCTGGCCTGTCAGCTGTGGGGTCACCAGGGAAGCGTCACCCGAGAGGGCCCCTCCCGCAGCACACTCGCCCTCCCAGTGCCCTTACCCTCTGCTGCCTTCTTTTCTATAGCGCTCACCCCTTCGAGCACATTATTAAAGGCTCCTATTTTCATCTGTTCTTATATCACCTGCCTTCCCCCCTCCAAGAATATACTCCCTATGGGGGCAAAGTTGTCTATTTTGTACTATCAAGTATCCCGAGCATTGGAAACAGAACAGGGTTCATAACAGGAATTCAACATATATTTGTTACTTATTGAACAAAGATTTATTATCAATAATGGACACGAGACAGGGAAGCTAAACATTGGCTAAAAATGAATGGCGGTAGGGAGGAGAAAGTATGTGATTTTAAGTATGCGAGGTCTGGAAGGAGTTGGAAAGGAAGAAACAAATTTAAAAACATCGTTAGGCTGAGTTGGGAATATAACTCTATAGCCATAGGTATATAAAATATACAGGGACTGGAAAAAGTAGATTTACAGTTGTGAGCAAACAGAACAGCTTATCCTTGTATTATTTATTCTTGTATTATATGTTTTCATATGAACTGTAAACCTACTTTTGCCCACCCGTGTGTGTGTGTGTGTGTGTGTGTGTGTGTGTGTGTGTGTGTGTTTTAGGACTAGGAAGTATCAGCTGAGGGAAAACATGATCAAGAGACAGAAATAAGTAGGGGAAAAAAAATAAAGCCAAAGATCAGAAGGCGTGATTATGGAAACTCTTCACAAGCTTCCTACTTCTCAAGAAAACGACTCAGCTCGTGGAAGTTTGGCCCTTGAGAGGCCTGGGGAGCCCCGGGAAGCGCCCCCCATCGCAGCCCAGAGGCCCACGCGCGGCTTCCACTTGCCCGAGGCCAAGTTACCATGTGGCAGAGCCCCAGCCGGGCTCCCGCCCCCAGATGCCCGGGCCACTGCTGCTCCCCGAGCCCAGCCGCAATGACTGCGTTCCTTCCACAGCACCCCGGGACCCCGCCTGGGACACAGCGCGAGCAAGGTCCCGGGGGCAGGGCAGGAAGGGGAGCACCCAGCTGGGACCTCCGCTGACTGCCTGTGGCGGCCACCCAGCAGCGTCACCCAGGAGTCCTTATTAGTTCAGCAGCTAGGGAAAGTTTTCTCAAATATTTTCTTTACTTGGCTTCAGTTTCAGGGGAACCACCAGGGATATTTCTCCTCTGCGGGGACCCATTCATTCAAAGAGATTTCATAACGGACACTAAGGAATCTGAGTAAATCAGGCAAGACCGGACTCTTGAGCGGATGTGTCAGAATCTGTTTTCTCTTGTAAAGGAGGAGACAGGTCTCATTCAGGACTTGATCTAGGATTAGTCCATAGGATCATCCTTTCAAATGATGGCCCTCTCGCCCTACTCCACCCTGATCACAAGTTTCTAGGAGGTGTCTCTTCTTTTGAATATCAGCTTCCAATGGACATGTCTCCATTCGCATCTGGATATTATGCAGGTATCATGTACTGTCTACTTGTCCTCCCCCAGAGATACTGGATATTCCTTCCATTTTACCCTGTAAGAAGATAGAGGGAAGGGCCCGTGACCTCTCTGGGTGAGCTCCTTCTAGTATCTTCGGCAGGAACTCTTAGCATCTCGCCAAAAAGCTAACCAGCTCTTCAGTGAATTTTCTTAGGTGGCTGATGGAATGAAGCATATTTTCAAAGTGGTAAGGAAACATCTCAAGAGAACTTATTTCTTTGATTGGATTTTGACTTTATTTCTAAAAATAATAATAAACACAAATTTCTACAGTGCTTTACAACTAAGAGAGAATATTCATACATAACAATATTAAATTGTAGAAAACAAATGAGTTATCAGGGTAGGTATTACTATTCACTTTTATAGATATAAAAAAGGGAACTTTGATAAATGGCTGAATTACCCAGCATCATATATGTAATAAGTGTAAAGCTAGGATGAAACTTGGACCCTTTACCTTTCCTTTGAGTGGTAAGATATATTCCCTCCACAGAGCTCGTTTAAAGAATATGGCATGGTTCTCACTTTTTTTCAAGTAGTGTTATTAAATCATAAGCATTTAATGGTGCTTCACGGGGGAAAAGAGTATTCTATGATGAAATAGAAAACTTTTGTGATAAAGTTAAGCTGTTTGCTTTACAACAGGACTTCACAGAACTTTATTGTGCTAATATGCACTGTGAATCTTGGGGGGGAAAAGTGAAAATGTTTTCTAATTTGACCACGAAAACTTTCATTTCTGAGGTGTCACAAAGAATTTGGTTCTAAGGAACACAATTTAGGAGTTAGTTTCTCAGAGAATGCTTAAATTTTCTTCCTATGTGTCATGTTCCCTTATGAGGCTATAAAGTCCTTATATCCCTCCACATAGCTGAGCCCAAGACTTGAGAGTTCATAGCAGATATTCAATAAACGTTTGTCTTCTTGATTTATGTATTGATAGGGCACAGTGGCCTTTCGGTTGAGGTGAGGAGGTTTTCTGGAGAGTTACAGAGTTTGTGGAGTTGGGGAAAGATAAGGATTGGGGAAAGCTTTCTGGGGAGACGATGCCTGAGCTGAACTCTGAAGGAGTAAGATGCAGGCAAGGAGTGGGAGGAGGTGAGGGCCCAGGGCAGACAGAGCAGACAATGCACAGTCCCCAGAGCAAGGGAAGCCACGCAAAGGAACCGAAGTGGTTTGGCAGAGCTGGGCAGGGAGCGCAAGGAGAAGAGTGGTGGAATCTGGCATTTGGTTTTGTTAGAGACAAGCGCTAATGTGGGGCGGAACTCTTCTGGGCCCAAAAGCAGTCAGACAGACAAAGCTAAAGACTACTCTCTTAAGCTTTTCTACGCTTAGTAAAATAA